GTAATGATCTAAATATGTGACTATAAAAAAATTTCTGTCCTACATTAATGCAACCCTACTCAATCTGTCACGCATGTATGTTTACACACATGGACGTAGATGTGTGCATTTTCCCCTGAATACACATCAAAGCTGCCATTATTCATGCTGTGAATACAAATCTTATTTTACACACATGCATATAAGCATCACCTCTTTGTGTTCTCTTCCCTGAGGGTCCATCACCGCTCTCTTCTTATCTCCATTCACCTCTCACTCCTCTTTCATCTCATTCTGCCTCATAGAGCCTTTTCTTCCTTGGTTCCCCTCTCTCTCTTCTTCGGTTATTTTGATAGTGTTTCAGCTTTATATGACACGAGACAGCAGAGTGAAAAGGTTTGCTCGGGGGTTGATGGTGGATCTGCATGAACAACATGCTTGAGGAATGAAATCATGTTTTCTTCTATGAAATGTTGTCTCATGCAGCAGCTACTCATTAAAGTCAGGGGTGAATAAAGTAACCCGATTTTTACTCTGTAACAAGTACAAGTCCTGTGTTCAAAATATGACTTCAGTAAAAGTACAACACCTTGGCATTTACCAAAAGTAAACTCTTAAGCATAATGGCCCATTTCAGAATGATATGTAATAAATAACCGGATTTTGATTAATGGTGCATAAATGTGTTCATCACAGATGGTAAAGGTGAAGCTTTTTTTTATTACTTTATATATTGCTGCTAGATATTTAAAGGGGACCTATCATGCAAAATGCACTTTTGTACGTCTTTTATACATGAATATGTGTCCCCGGTGTTCCAGGGAACTCACCAAGTGTCAGAAAACACAACCCTCTCTATTTTCCTCCATACCCAAATCTCTAAAAAAGGGGCTGCAACGGATCTGATACAGAATGATCCAGATTTGAACACTTTACTGACGTCAGGAAAGTGGCGCTACGGCTATTGGGCCAACTCTCCACCTATCAGGGGAATGTGGGGTTGGGCCACGGCCGGCCATTGCCGCTCGAAACCGCTGGAGACGCTGTAGTACATATGCCAGGCCTGTAAGTGGCACTGTAGTCTGTCACAAAAGCAGCGAAGAAGACTTGGTTACCATGGTTACCCTTCTGTTTATTCTCCGCTGTGGCTTTTTTTCTCCCTCCCCGAGGCAAGCGTTTGCTCCCGCTGCTTTAATTCAATGCAATCCCTCCCCGTCGAGGCAAGCACTGTCATTCTCTCCGGTTAGTCCACCAGCAGATGACAAACACCCACCTCTCCGCCTCTTCCAAGGAACGAGGGGACCGTGCGGCAGAGTTTCAGTTAGGCTTTCTTTCGCCGGTCAAGATAAAGTTTAAATCTTCCGGACAAAATTAGAAAAGTGCTGGTCAAAGGTCTTCTTTGTTATTTATTGAGCTTTAAAACAAATGAATAACGACTCTATATAGGCTATAATAAAACACGGAGATCTCTTTTTCTCCCCCTCTTCTGACAGCCCAGCAGCTGATCAAAGCACATCTCCCCTCTCCTGCAGGGGGGCGTGGTCAGCTGCAGCTCAGCCCCGTAGACAGCAAACAGCACATAGAGCGAAATGAGGCATGGCTAAAATGCATGATCTGTTTGGTATTTCGAAAACAGAAACGTATAAATATACCTTATATAGGTATGGCCCTACAATATATCATTTAAATATAGCATGATAGGTTTCCTTTAACCCATAATTATATATCAATGTTTACTGATTAGTTGATTTGTATTTTGTAGTATTAGTTATATAATAATCCTAATCTTTAATTGTGTGTTCCAGCATCCACAGTGCAGTGATATCAGTGTTCCAGAAGAAGGATCTGGGAGAAAATGAACTCTACACTCTGAATGAAGGTGTCAGGTTAGCTTCCTGTCTCTTCATCTGTCTGTCTGTTTTTATTTGTATTTGTCTGCTTATTACTTTCTCACTCACAGAAAAATTAACCAAGCACGACCAATGTTGAGTTTGGGATGAAAATTGACAAAATGATAGTGCTTTTACTCTGTAATCCCCCACCTTCCCTAGCTCACGTATACAGTTGAAGCTTCAGCAAGCTAAATGTAATCTTAATGACACATTAGCAGTCACAGTGTTACTGCCTATTGTCCACTGAATCAGAAAGTCCTTCTAGTAAAAGAGGGAACGATGGGGGGAGGTTACAGAGGGTTCACTGCTGTGTTTTTAATTACAATATGGCTGAGGGCTGTCAATAGTGACTCCAATCCTGTACAGTAAACTACACACACATACTCACATACACATAGTATACACATACTGTACTGTACATGCTACCTCTTTTTTAAATAAGCATAACTCTCCACTTTAAATATAGTACATAGTATTGCCATATTTTATTACATTTGACTGCACTCAGTTTCCTCCATAACTATATTTTGTCTACATTGTGTCTTTATTTTTAATTTGTTGCAATAGTCTTAGCTTTTTTAATTTTGTATCCACCACTTATACCAAAGCAAATTCCTCGTATGTGTAAACATACTTGGTAATAAAACCGATTTGGATTCTGACTCAAGCTGTTGTATCTTCACATTAGGAGAAACACCTGATTAGATTAGATACAGACTAAAGGTCAAATTATCTCTTCCTGTCATAACAGCAGTAATTTCTACATGTTTACAGTTTATTGGAGGAAATTACTGTTGTTGAATTGTTCTTTGTCTTCGGTGTGAACAACATCTCTTCTCATTTCCTGAGTCTGCTGCTGTTCAAACACCGCAGCTTTCCAGTGCACTAAAGCTCATTAGTTTTTCTTCATGTTTAGGCAATACAATTAATGTTGTGTGTGTGTTGTGTGTGTGTGCACTCATGTGAACTTTTCTTTCAGGCAGCTGCTGAAGACAGAGCTGGGCTCCTTCTTCACTGAGTACCTTCAGAACCAGCTACTCACTAAGGGCATGGTGATACTGAGAGATAAGATCCGCTTCTATGAAGGTATACACACAAACACACATCAGAGACATGCTGTATGTGCACATATTCTGATGAAGCCCTGTTTAACAAGAACATCCTGTTTAATGGTAAAGTGATAGACATAGGAAGAATCCAAGTTAAGTCAAATTGAATAGAAAAATATAAAAGTGACACCAAACCTATCAAGACTATTTGTTTGGTTTATTCTAAGATTTAAATTCCACTTATTTTACGAACAACTGCCTCCTGGCTTTAGAAAATAGTTTTCACATGCAGTGCCAGTGAGTCATTACAGGGAAACTTCAAGAGTTTTTTTCTCAATGTGACAAAAGTCACGAGTATAACAGGAAGAAATAATAATTGACAAAAATATCAGATGCTTAGTTAACCCCTCCAGCTATTAGTTTGAACTGTTTGAAGAACAATCTTTCTCTCTCCACCATCTCTCTTTATGAAGGACATTTTTATGGAACACACACACACACACACACACACACACACACACACACCACACACACACACACACACACACACACACACACACACACACACACACACACACACACACACACACACACACACACACACCGGGTTCAACTGTCTTTCTAGTAGCTCTGTAGCCCCATCCACGAGTAACGTCAGGTGTTATGTATGCTAGCAGCAACACACGGAGTTAACTCAATTATACAAACATGGGTTAATGATTAGAGTTATTTATTTTGTTAAAGTTTCAGCTATTCTGTTTACAGTTCTGTCATCAGATTATTTAATACGATTTGTTAAAACATTGTTGTTTCTTTTGATGTGAAATATTATGTATTTAATTTAAATAAAAAGCAATGTTAGTTTTGTTCACAATTTGTTTAGTTAGTTAAGAGTACCGTTAAAAGACCGGATCGATAAGCGGTATCGATTAAAGTAGTAGTACCGTTAAAACCTTAACGATACCCATTCCTACACACACACACACTTCCCCCTCCCGCATAAACACACATACATGAACACAGAGTCAGAGTTAGATAGAGGCATTTAAGAGGAAAAAGTTAAATCAATGCGTTCTCTTTGTTTTATTAATGTGTGACTTTTGTTGTGTCGCTTATTTGAAGCAACAATGCACACACACAGTGACTCAGATTTTCAGGGCTGTCGTCAGAGCAACAACACAGGAAGTGATGCTTTACGTCAATTGCACAATATCCAGTCAGTCAGAAATGTTAAGATAAGAAACACAGCGGTTCATACAATGACTCAGACGCATTGTTCAATGTGTGATTCAATATGCCTGCACAGACCTATGCTGCAAAAAAAGCTTTACAAATATCTGATCTTTTTTAGGGATAGAAAGCATACCAATTATTACTATAAAAATAACAGACTCTGTCAACATACTACTCAAACTAATACTACTTTTTGTATTGAAAGAAATGCAGCAAAAGATGCTTAACAATGAGAAAAAACAGAATGAACATTGAATAATTCATATCATAAGAAAGAGAAAAACGACTGATCAATTGTAATATTTTGGGTAAAACTGTACCTATATCTGCAGCATCCAGCATGTATAGACTATCAATAAACACTGCAGTAGCATAAAGGTGCCCATTCTCTTCTCTTCTCATCTTTTCTTTTCTTTTCTTTTCTTTTCATCAGCTATGGAGGTTTGATTTTTTTAAGCTAAAAATGTAGAGAATATTTTGCCTTGAGTGCATACTTTACAAATGCATCGTCTAACATTACAGACATAAAAGATTTGCATGAAATAAAGTGAACAGACACCCACTGCAATGAGATCAAACCACATCAAAACGTAGAAATTACATAACGTAGGACATCTTGTTGACTGCATGTGCTAGACACTTGTTATTTTTGTTTATTTTTACTTTGTGCTGATTGGCTGTTTGTCTTCTTGCTTGTTTGTTATAGGTCAGAAGTTGCTGGACTCCCTGGCCGACACATGGGACTTCTTCTTCTGTGATGTTCTGTCCATGCTGCAGGCCATCTTCTATCCTGTACAGGTACACACACACTGCCGTGAACACACTACCATGCTTATATTATCCTAACAAAACTGTGTGTTGACCCATGTGTGTGTGTCCTCAGGGAAAAGAGCCATCAGTGCGTCAGCTGGCTCTGCTTCACTTCAGGAACATCATCACCCTCAACCTGAAACTGGACGAGGCTCTGTCTCGACCCCGAGCCAGAGTCCCTCCTTCTATCATACAGATGTTGCTAATACTACAGGTACACACACACACAAACACACAAGTTATTTATCGTTTCCTTTCGTTTCTCTCACGCTATCTCCACACACACATTTGGCTCTCATAAACAAACATCTATTAATGTTGTCGGGTGAGGAAGAAGAGGGTAAGTGGCAACAGATGGAGGATTAGCGAGTACAAAGAGCTGTAGACTTTTTTCTTGCAAAGGGATCTCACAGGAAGTAATCTCAGTCTTCTTCCCATGACCACTCAGTAGTACCCTCTGCACCCTGTCTCTTTGTGTCCTCACAAAAACTGAAAAAAAGTGTTTCAGACCGAATTAGTAAAAAACGTATTTTCTTGAGGATGTGTGAAATATTTGTGTCAACTGCAAAGTGAAGAGAGCTCAGACATGCATGTGTCCCCTGTGGATAATATGCTTCACTTCATAAACATTTCAAAATAAACTATAGTGAGTAACATTAGGGGTCTGTTGTTGCTCCATAAGGCTGAATCAGGTTTATTTCAATGTGGTTCTTCATCCATTCTGCAGTGACTTATAGCTGCACACAGTTAATGATATATTACCTTTACTCCTCGTGGGAACAGGAAGAGAGTTGTTTTTATTTATTATTTAACCGTGGTGATGCTGTTCTTTTGCAGACAACACGCACTGGAATTATAAGTTAAGATGCTTCTCGTTTCACAAAATTCACACCGTGCTTATTCGCCCTCTGGATTTCCATAATTTGTAGATAATGTTACTTTTAATTTGTTTGTTTGTAGCCTTAATGGATGCATTCGTCATCTTTTCTCTTCTTCTGAGTTTTTTTAACTATCTTGAAACATTACATTGCAGTGAATTTAGACACGTACACTCCCAAACACAGTTGGCCATTTATTGGTCAGATGTGAGATGTGGGTTAGGGAGTGAATGCAAGTGGATTGGTGTGTTCTCAAGTGAGTCTGTGTGCTGTTTTTGTTGGACATTATTTTAGTGACTCATTGACCCAAATCTGCCTCGTCCAGACTCAGACAGAGAGAGAGCATGACAGCTGGACAAGGGAAGGTATACAGAGTCAAAAAAGACAAGAATAGAAAACAGGATACATTTATTTGTTTCTCTTCAATTGTGTACAGATTTTAAAATGTTTTTTCCCCCACAATAAATATCAAATCAACAGGTAGCGTAAAGATATAAAAGCCAACAGTTTTTTTTAAGGCAGGGCAGCTACAACACAAGGTTGAGTGTAAGAGAGATAAAGATCTGCAGAGCGTTTGCTGTTTTTGCGACTTCTTGTTTCATCTGTCAGTAATTTCCCTGTTCGTTCTGTGATGCCAATTCGCCAAAGTCTGGTCTATTTATGTGGTTTGTTTCTGTGCTGTGGTTTTGATGCTCAATGGTTCAGAGTTCTGATATTTGATTGATCTTGCCTTTGTCATTCATAGACTTTTCTCTGAAGTGAGGTCAGGGTCCACATGTTTCACACCCCTCAGCATGATAATGATCTTTAAAGTTAATCAACATTTGGGAGGCTACTCACACTAAATTCAACTCCTACGCAGAGCCTGGATAATTTAAACAGTAACGTTTTTGTTTACTTTTCCTTAAAGGTCCCATGTCATGATTTTCCGGTTATTACCCATCCCCTTGTGTGTTATGTAGCTTTTTCTGCATGTAAACGGTCTGCAAAGTCACAAACCCTCAAAGTACACCCTGTAGCGAGTAAAACTCGAACACAGAAAAGACCTGTCTATGCTGCCCCAGAACGCCTCGTTGGAGATTTATCTTTTTCTTCCTGGGTACAGTGACGTGCCCAGTGGCGTTTTTATATGTACAAAAGTGGTGGGGCACAAAAAACTTAGATGTCTATATATAAGCTTCTGCAGTGACGTGCAGTGAGGTTCATGGCTGGTGAGGCACTGGCACTGACTCTTCAGGTTTACAAATATTATATTTTGACCTAAACCAAAATATAATATTATTTTCAAAAGCTTTTTTTGTCTGATGCTTCGATTAATTTTAAACAGACAGTTCAACAAAAGGATACCCAAAAAATGTCATTTTATCATTTAAATATTGAATTGTTCTCTCTTAGTAAGATCCCATTTTCAATAAAATGGCGGTCTTACCTTGACTTGAAGATGAAGTCCATTTGCCTATCCTTCTGGACAAACATTTCTATTACTTTTTTGTAAAAGTCCTCCTTATGTTCTTGTAGTTTCAAAAGTCTATCATAAATCTAATCCATAGATTTATGATAAAAAAATTATAAAAGTAGGGTAGACATGTGGATGTTATCCGGCTAATCAAAACGTGCATTTATCTAACAGGTACGTTTCCCACAGATCTTATTTCGAGCTATTTTCTAAAATCCTCTGGAGAAATCTCATTGCTTTTTTGTGCTTACTTCCTGGTTTTAGGACGCGCCACTGCAGCTCTCTCGTCTCCTCTTCAAGCACCACACTTTTCGCGGCACACGTACTTACAGCCAATCAGCTCTGAATGATTTGAGATGATGTATGGTGGGGATGGTAACTCCGTGCCCCTCTGGTCATTATTTTTTTGCCACACACATTACATTACAAAATACTCTGAGCATGCGCAGTGAAGTTTTTACAGTCACCGTTGACTTCACAGCGAGAGGAAGGGGCATAATCAGGTTTTGTCCCACATGGCTCTAAACAGCTCAATAGGCACACACTGTGACTGTAGACACACTAATTAGAAGAACACAGACTAAAACAGCAATGTACAGACGAATCAGATGATTAAACATGATCTTAAATATATTTTATATATTTTTTTATTTTTTTTTTTGCATTTTTGTAATCATTATTTGTAATACTTTCTGCTGACACTAGGTGGGGCTGTGCCCCACCTGCCCCTAATGACCAGTCGCCACTGGACGTGCCCATACCCAAATGGACCCATTGGTCCAAATGGACCAATCCGTGGAGCCGTTACGTTACGTCCGCGGAGCCGTTACATTTGGACCAATCCGCGGACTTCCTCACACACACACACTCAATCTTTTCTCAGCTGCAGCTCCGCCGATTTCTCCTCCCTGAGACGGCGGGACGTGGCGAGGCTGTGAGTCGGTGTGTGAGCACACACACAAACTCCCAGCCAGGCTGCGGGTGTGTGTGTGTTCTGGCTGGGTTTCGCCGTGTCTCGCTGTCTCGCAGACGGCCACTGGGCTCATAGGGAGGGGGGGGCCAGGAGCTCTAATGGCGCATTTCCACCGCAGGCCTCGCTCGACTTAGTACGGTTTTGTTAGGCCTTGTTAGGCCCGGCTCACTTTAATGCTGCGCTTCCATTACAGTTTAGGAACTGGGGTAGTATCTATAGTAACGCAGTGTAGGCGGCGCCGTGACGTCACCTTCAATGCGCACCCCAGAAAAACAACATCAGCCGTTAGCTGTTAGCACTCAAGCTCACAGCTCCTCATATCTGTTCAGAAACTAGACAAAAGTTAAACAAGTACAAACCACAGACTGTCTGTGTCATGGCGAGTACAGTCGCTGGTTTATTTATGTCTGTATAGGCCGTTGTTGTGAGTGTGGACGGTCGGAGCATATATTGCGTTAGCTTAGCCGATCTCCATTTAGACAACGCGCATTTTAAAAGGTTTTTCGCCTGCCGTCTGTCTGCAGACTTGTCAAAGCATTAATTCATGGTTTTTACTAACCGGTATCAGTATGTTGTTACTTCGGCATCATTTTGAAACGTGTATTACAATTAAATCACGGTCAAATATGTTCATCTTGTTGTAGTTGTAGCCCCCTTGCCAGCGATTCTCTCTCTAGTTTAGCAAACTCAGCCCGACTCAGCCCTGTTTGTTGGCCCCGATAGAACCACGATTTTGTCGAGCCAGAAAAAAGGTGAAAAAGTACCCCCGGGCCGGAACTAGGCATAGTGGAAACGCAACCAAAAACGGGCCCGGCACGATATGGCACGCTTAAACCGCGCTCCGCGCCATGGTGGAAATGCGCCACAACAAGCCGTTTAGGACAGAGAGTGAATACACATACTATACAGAGATGCTGTATGAGAAACCAATGTGATTTTGGGAAATTGCACAATATAATTTTTTTTTTAGTATACCTCAACAATGGAATTATGATCAGTAGAAATGACCATGACATGGGACCTTTAAGACTTGGAGTTCCTGAAACAGCACTATGTTGATTATGAGTGTTAGTTCATTGCCACTGATACTAAGTAATTAGAAACAAACACAATCTTAAGTGAAATTTGGGTTTGAGTGCCTGTTTCCTGCAGAAACAATTGCTTGGGCCCCTTGAGACAAGAAAAGCAATGTTGTTGATGTTATTCATATCAATGTATTTTTACATCTTTATACAAGTTTAGGAAAAAGCTAAATTCACTCAACACTATAAGCTCTTTCATTCATGTGGTCCTCCGGGCGGTTTTATAAAAGCATAATGTGACAATGGTTGCTGTCCCCAATATGTTTTTAACTTTAATAAAATCCAGCTTCTCAGAGACATTTGATTTTGGTTTCAGAAAGGCAAATTAACTGTCTTTATTTTTTTGCCCCACTTTTCTTGTGTGTGTGTGTGTGTGTGTGTGTGTGTGTGTGTGTGTGTGTGTGTGTGTGTGTGTGTGTGTGTGTGTGTGTGTGTGTGTGTGTGTGTGTGGTGTGTGTGTGTGTGTGTGTGTGTGTGTGTGTGTGTGTGTGTGTGTGCAGGGAGTCCATGAATCTAAAGGTGTCACAGACGACTACCTGCGTCTGGAGTCTCTGATCCAGAAGGTGGTCTCTCCCTACCTCGGGACTCATGGGTTATACTCCAGCGATGGATCCTCCAATCTACACTGCTCCTCCTGCCTTTTAGGTATGTGTGTAAATAAAATGTACAATACAAGTGCTTTTAAAAGATACAAGTGCCATAATCCCTCATGTCTTGTACTTAAAAAATATAGAATAAAATCATCTTAATTCTTTATCTTTCTCCTACTCTCTTTAGAAAAGCGTTTGCCGCGATCATGGCCCTCTAAACCAGGCTCCCCCGGGGTTAAGAACCCAGTGGTACGCTCCAAGAGCTACAACGTTCCCATGCTGACCCCCGTGGTGGAGTATGACGTGGACTCCTCCACAGGTGTCAGACGACACTCCGGTGTCAGACGACACTCCGTCTCAGGGATGACTTCCTGCTTGGAAGAGAGCATCTCTTTGGCTGAATCCACAAACACTGCCCCCAGCATCACCAGCATCACCAGCATCACCAGCATCACCAGCATCACCAGCATCACCAGCACGTCCAGCTTCCACAACCATTCTCCAGCCTCCACAGCCTCTGCTTCACTGTCAGGTAAGCTTTACCAGCACTAAAACATGCTACAAATCATTGGCTGCGGCACATTTCCAGTTTGTATTGTTTCAGGAGTGATCAATAATTGATTAAGATTTCTTTTCAAGGGTGTGTTTTAGTTTAAAGGGAATTCAAATTAAAGTGGGGTGCTCTGAAGCAATTGTTCATGGTCATTGTATTACCCTCGTTAGATGGCAGTTGTTGGGACAGGATTAACAGCATAATCCAAGCAATGTACTAAATATGGATTGTTTTAGACAAGCCTTTCTATTAGGTGGGTCAAATACAATTTGCTCCATCCACAGCTGTACATAGCTTTGCATTCATGATGAAACTCGTGTCCTCTTCTCTTAACTACTATCATCTAGTGAGGGTAATTCAGTACAATGACCATCGAGAAGTACCTCATACTAGGCCACTTTAACTTTCCCTTTAAAACCTGTCCAAGAAGAACCTCTTGCATCTTACTGAACACTGTGTAAATAATTGTTTTATCTTTAAAGTAGTGGAAACGAGGGAACTTTCTTTAAAGCTGTCCAGAAATGTTGGGTTGAGGAAAACATTAAGAGAAAAACTCTGAATATGTTTTGAAATTGAGTGTGAAAGTACTCACTACTGGACTTAAATCAGGAAGCTAATGAATAAGAGATCCAGAGAGTTATTGATTATTTATCAATAATTCCTACTGCCCTGTGTATAGACACTGTGACCTTCAGCCAGGAGCCCCCCCCAGGAGCCCCTGACTGTCCTGCCAGTCCCCACCCTCTCCGGGCACAGCATCACTCCCCCTGCATCCTCCCAGAGCCGTCCCCAGGAGAGGACACCCACTGCACAGGCTCGCTGCAGTCAGACTCCCCCGCCTCCCTCAGAGCGCTGGCTCAGGACACCAGCTCCGGCCCCAGCCCTGCATCCAGCCCGGAGGTCCTGAGGGGCCACGTCCCAGAGTCTTTGGACTCTGAGCCAGAGCACGATGGCATCTTTCTGGACTTCTCAAAACACTGTTCTGAAGGGTCGGACACACAGCAGAGTGTGGCGTGACACACACACAGACACACACATGCAGACAGATGCACACTGATGCAGGACGACATTCCTTACGCACTGGGACAATTCCTGCTGTTTTATTGAGACTCAAAATGATCAGGGATTTTTTTAACTGAATATTTTTTATGGAAAAGGTGATCACCCATACCTAGAATCAAGTCTAACCACATGCTGACTCACAGAAATACATATTTTGCCTTTTTTTAAAGTGTTGGCACTAGGCTAGAAACATCAACTCTGTCTTTTTGGGCAGCCAGGATCACATGCGTCCCAGGCTGTCAGAGGAAGTTTTTTCTACCGTTTTTTCTTTTTAATGAAAACTCTGAAAATACATGAAGCCAGTGAAAAGACATCCCAGGGGGAGGGGCACATGTTGAAAAATAATTGTCAAAATATCTTAAAGAGGCTATTAAATACATTTTTTAACACTTTAAATGTAAAGGTAACTCTCCAGTTCACCCAATGATGCTTCTGTATTGCTTGTTGAACAGCAACTTATTTTATTAGTTGATCATTAAAATATGAATTTGAATGTTGCAATCTTTTATTCTGTGTCAAATATTGAATGAGCTGTATTTTCAAAGCAGTTTAAGTTAAGAAGGAACTCAAATCAGTTGCAATGTGTCTTTTTCTCTAAGGACCCATAAGATCCATGACGTTTTTATTAAAGATATTATGATCTAAAAAATGTTTGGATAAAAACACTGATAATTACATTTCTCTACATAAGTTTGTAAAAGAAAAATCTCTTAGTTTGAAACCAATGATATCAGCTCATATTTTGGTTTAGGTCTACATTTCTGCGTGATATGAAAAGGTTGCAGACACCGCCATCTTGTGTCATCCCGGTCTCATTGCACAGCAGTATGGTTTCCCTGCAGGGCAATGCTGCAGTGTAGCCGGTAGGTAGGGGTGGAGAGCAGCTCAATCAGAGACACCTGTGAGCCGGGGGAGAAGCAGTGGCGATGGCAGTAGGCTACAGACTAGAGGAGAAAAGAAAAGAGAAATGTGAAACACTTTACCCAGTTTGTCCCCGTCCCTTGAAGAAACGTACATGAGTAAAGTAAATATATAGAGTTATGAGTCAGTTTGTTCTGGAAGTGGCTGAGTTTCTGCTCTTCCCTGGACTCCCGCGTTCTGCTGCTGAACGCCGGTCACCGCAGCAGGTAAGCTAATGAATGCTATCATGCTAATGATGCTATTTATCTTCAGTCTGCGTTTCTACTCTTCCCCATGGAGTCTAATGTACTACGCCTATGCTTATCAATTATCATATAATCAGATTATCATGTGTTTTCAGACAACACGTTCCATTTGTAATAGGTTGATACATTTATATGGTGGCTGTAGCGTGATTTATGTCCTTTGAAAACTGACTACGTAGACATTTTTTTTTTTTTAAATATGAATATTGTTAGCTTTAATATCGAACTGCGGTCGCGCCTTTATGGTAATCGTTGTAAAGCGGTAATTACGCTATTACAATATTACAAGAAAGAATGTTTTACTGCTATATTCGATAAGCGATTTTATACTGTTGGACTCATAAGCCGCGTTCACACCGGAGTACTTTTCACCGTACTTTTCGCATTTAGTTCCGTTAGTACACCAAAAAGAGTACTTAATCTCGGGAACTTTTACCCCCATTTTTAGTGCCTGCTGAGAGATCTACTTTCCTTGGGGAAAAAAGTGCCCCAGTTCTGATTGGCTGGGCGAATTGCAAACCGCGCCCCGTAAAACTCTGAAATGATTTGTAGAGCCGCCATTTTATTTGCTCTCTACAAAAACCCAGTGCACCAACGGAGAGTAGTTTGTTTTGAAAGCAGTTATGGCAAGCATCAATAAATAATCGAAGCGGTGGAGTGATGAGGAGGTGTCGGCGCTTCTGGTAATCTACGCAGAGGACGCGACCCAGGGAATGCTACTGAAGCCAGTTCAGTAGCATTCACTCGACCTGGGAATCGTGCACAGCGCCACGGCATACCGCCTAAAAATAAAGAAACTCAGGCAGGACTACAAACAAATTAAAGACTATTATAACAAGAGTGGTAACGACCGGAAGACCAGTAAATGGTACGAGCGCTTGGATGCTCTGCTAGGCCACAGACCTTTTCTCCGGGACAGCATCGACCTTCGATTCGGGCACGATGGTGTGGGAGGCCGCTCAAACGGCGGATTCAGTGGCCAACGATGACGACCACGACGAAGGTAAAATCAACTACATGCACTGGGGTTTTAATCTGCACAATAATGGTCTCAGATGTACTTTTATTTGCTCAGTAGATTAAGCTAGCCATGCTAGGCTGAACTGGCTAACACCGGCCCCGAGCTAGCTAATAACATCTAGCTAGTTAGATATTCTCGGCCGCTATGAAAACGTTTTGACTTGTGAATAACTGTGCAGTGTTTCTGTAATTTGCTTCACTAACTCATGGCACTAATCGTGTGTTTCAGGCGAGGCTGGACAACTCTCAGGATTGGAAACAAGCGAGCTTTGCCTTCAAGATCACAGCGCTTGCTCGTCCCCCTTACCAAACCAACCGCAAAGGTACACACACTGTAACTTGGTCTTGAAAGAACGTTACGCATCGAACTGATGTTCACAATCACGTTTATTTCCTTCTTGGTACAATTATGAAACAGCGTGAAAACGTATTCGCCTAGACTGGCGTTTACAAATTTTCGCGCCGTTTTTACTCTCTCACAAACATTGTAAACATCCGGGCTAGAGGTCACATGACTTCCGGTAAGAAAACTTGCCTCAACAACATTAAACAAAGTTCAAGCATACATGAAGCACTCTTCAAAAATACAAAACAATAAATAAGGGCACTTTGAGCGTCAGCTACACACACACACACACTCAGTGTGTGTGTGTGTGTGTATATATATATATATATATTTTATGCTATTTGATCCTATATTATCTTCTACTATACACCTGCATTGTGCACACTGTCTTGTCCCGGCCTGCACCCTGTCCAATGTTGACTAGTAAACACATTCCTAGTATGTTGTAAAACTACATGGCGACTAAACAGATCTTGTATCTTGCTTATTTTCCCTCTTAGGAAAGCGGGCACGGGATGTGAATTTCTTTGACACCGTCGAGGCGTTGGAGGACCGGCGTGCCGTGGTGAAAGAGTCGATGCACGGGGATCAGATGGTGCTGTTCACCAAGGCCCAGGAAACGGGAGGACAAGATGCTCACGATGATGGAGCGCCAGGCTGAAGTGTTGAAGCGGCAGATGGAGCGCCAGGAGCACCAGGATGAAGTGTCGGTGCAGGATGAGCGACAAACCTCTTTCAGAATGGGTTTCTGGAAGTGCTTTCCCAGCTAGTGAAAGCCAACAGGTCTTCCTCCCTATAGTTGCCACTGTTAACAATGTCTGCTGCTGAGCCTATCCCTACACCTGGGACAGTTCATTTTGTATTGTTTTTATTAATACTGACACACAACTTTGCACTAAGGTGTGTATGCTGCTGAGCCTATCCCTACACCTGGGACAGTTTATTTTATATTATTGTTATTACCGTTATTATATAGTCTTGATACAACTGACACTTTATTTTATATTGATAATGTTAACTTACATGTACAACTTCTATTTTATTTATATTAAAAATGTGAACTTCTATTTACTGTTATGTCTTGAGAGTGCAATAAAGAGAACCTACATGGCGATTAAACAGATCCTGTATCTTGCTTATTTCTCCTGACACTTTATCTTTAGTGACCTGTGTAGCATCCTATACATCACATGTAAGTGATTATTCTGATACCATCATGTTTCATCGGTTATAAACTGGCGAAGCTTTATTTGTCATTTATTTATCATCAATGTTGCAACCTTGTGGGGGAATGGCAGGGGCACATACACAAATATGATAATTTATATCATTTTAAATATTATTTGACCTAAAACTAAATGTTTTTATGATTATCCTCTGAGGAGGACATAGGGATTTGCAAACTTTTAATTCCCCCCCCCCATTTTACACAACACAAAATGGAGTCCACTATGGGCCAAAACTAACATGTAGGTTTCCATAGTGTTTATGGCAGACGGATGCAGTGGGTCTCAGGAAGATATATATATATATAATAAAGGTGGGTTTGCTGCTGAGCCTATTTACTGTGCATATAACACACCTGGCACAGTTTATTGTTATATTGCCACACTGTACACTATTGTAATGTTGCCTGTCTTGACTGGAAAATAAAAGAGAGAAACAAAAGCAATGTACAAAAGATCAGCTTTATTGTCAAAATGTTTACAATGTACAATTTACACGCTGTTCAGATGCCTCATAAGGGCTGTGCGCGTGTCTTGCCCCCCAGCCTCGGCAATGGCTGGCGCTGGCCCATCAAGCTGGGTCGCCGGTAAGGCAGTCCATTCGTCCCTGTACTCATCATCATTACTTTCACAAAGGTTATGTAATATGCAACATGCTGCCACCTGGATTTTGATCTTGTCCATCTTGCAGTCGTTTCTTTTCATCAAGCACCGCCACCTGCCCTTCAGTCTGCCAAAAGCGTTCTCTACCACCACTCGTGCTCGGCTTGTTTTGTTATTGTACGCAAGTTGCTCAGGCTGCATTAACTCAGTTACAAAGCTGTATAACATGAGCACAAACAGCACAACTTCAGTCGACTCCATCTCCATCATGTCTGAGGTCGGAAGGTAAACAACAGACGCCTAATGTACAGCGAGTGGGTGGGCGTCGCAGTATACGCGGGAAGTTTTCCTTCTTCTTCTTCTCTTGTTTTTGTAGCGGATTGCAAACAACTTTAAGGTGCATACCGCCACCTACTGTACTCGCCGTGAAGTGGTTTGTGGGCTGCCAGTAAACCCAAAGCAGAAGAAGTGACGTCAGCGACTCATTTGCGTAATCTTCCCTCAGGGAAAAGTACTCCGGTGTGAACGCGATTGGTACTTAGTGCCCTGGGGTAAAAAGTGCCAGGGCACTGAGTGCCGGAACTAAGTACTGCAAAGTACTTGGTGTGAACGCGCCTAGCAGCAAGTCCTCAAAAAAGGCTTTAGTTTTCGAGATACCCCTACCCGAGGTAGAACAAATGACAACAATGATTGTTCTTATCTTTAGGGTCTCTCATTAATGAAATTGATTGTTGTCAAATTTTATTTTGGGGGAAAAAAATGTTTTTTGGTTCTTTAGAACTACCCCAAACCCTGAAAAAGAGCTAAATTAGACCAGACCGAATGTGGGAAAGGTGACAAAAAAGCCCATAACTTGAGAATGACCACTCTTTTCCTCTTCAGATTTGCTGAGGTATGAACCAGGTGGCTGTCCTACGTCACTAAATAGTCAGACAATTATTTAACTAAAAAAATACTGAATTATAGTCCTGTAAACTTAGCTTTAGTTTAGACGGAAATTGTACTTTTTGGTAATAGGACTCAATCACTTTTCTCTCATTTATCAAAAAAACAGAAATCCCTAAAAAATATACCATTACTGAATTGTCTAGGGTGCTATTGAACACTAACCAGTAGTTGTATGGAAATATCTGGTACAGTTCTATTGCAAATGAGATTTCTTTAGACATAGGCCTACCTCTTCTCTGATACAGTCAAATTCTGAATGGGGAATAAGTGGCATAATAGCCTATAAGTTAAGAATGCTCACTCTGATGGTCATTATATTTGGAGAGGGAAATACCAGGTGGCTGAACTACATCACCAAATAGTCAGAATAAGAGTAACCCAATTCAATAAAGTGTATTAGTTCTAAATTGCAAGCCTCTAAAACATAGGTGTAAATAGTACAGGTTTTATTGAAACTGGAACCTTAATTCAAAGTACAGTATACAATTCATCAATAATTCTGTGAGAGGTCAAGTATATAGATACTAGAATATAATGTTAAATGTCAGGTTCCTCAGAAACGTTAGGGGACACATTTTGACATTCTGCACAGCAGGTGCAGAACTCTGTACAGGGAAGGCCAACAGAGAGGCACTGGCACTTTCCACTCTCTCCACACTTTGCATCTTTGCAATACAAGTGAGTAATGTCTCTCACTTCTGTAGGTGCTGGGGGTTTTGTAAATAGCACTGGGTTGAATGACCCCATCTCTGACAATCCACCCATCTCTGACAATCCACCCCTTGCCAACAGGACAAGGTAACGTGCCTTTGTGACGTGCAACAACATTAACCTTTCTGTCGGTCGCTTGTTAGCAGACCCTTCACGCCATGGCAGAGCGAACAGGTACAGGCAGGGCCCATAGTGATAGCCCTATAGTTTACATTTACTACCCACAAATAAACATATGGACATGGGTTACTATTTTAAACAAATTGTAAATGTATTTAGGAACCTATCCATGTGATTTTAAGTGTGGGTGGACCTCAAATCCTCTAGGGGGGTCCGGGGGCATGCTCCCCGGTAAGATCTTTTATTTTTATTTTGGAGTTAAATGCATCAATCTGGTGCACTTTCAGGGGAAAATAAAGAGACTAGATCTATGGGAACACCTATATGAAACAGAACTGTATACATTTCAATAATCATAAAATCATGGCCATAACCAATAACATACCATTTCCAATATGAAAAAACACTGAAACTTGTTTATTTATTTATTTTTGGTTCATTTATAGTTGTGAGTGTGTCTGGGCTCCTGAATCAGCCTCACCTGTCTCCCTCCTCTCCTCCTCTTGAGGCAGCAGCAAAGACTAGTTTTCAGGGATGCAAACTTGTCACCTTTTGGCGAAATTCGCCGTTTTGAATCCAAAATAGGTCGTTTGTGTGATTCATGTAGATCTGCAATAAAAATATTTTTGGGGTATGGTGGGGGTCTGGGACCCGGAGTAATCTGCGTCCGCGAGCTGTTATGTGCCATCATGACACGCATGGTGTTCTTTTTTTATATATTATAATGAAGCGCGAGCTGTGTGCTCGAGTCTTCCTGCCTGTCGGCTCTGCTCATGGATGTATAATAAGGCTCTGCTGCTCCGCGATGATGGTCTAGCTTCAGTAGCTACATTACCTACGGGTGCGTTCGTTAATATTAACTGTGTGGTCCGGAGTCACTGTGGCACAGACTGGACCGCTGGTGAACAGCTGTTAGAACGGGCCGTTCAGGTGTTCAGAGCAGAGCTCCCTGTCGGAGCGGCAGAGCGTGATGTGCACTGAAAGGTTTTCCTGTCGCAATATTGTCGTTGAGCTAGCTAACTAGCATAACATATCTGCTAACGTTAGCTTTAGCCTTCGTTTTCTAATAGTTTTTTTCATAGGCTATAAACGGAGGTGGTATAAGTATAGATCTTGTACTAGAGTAAAAGTAGAAGTACTCAGATCTTGTACTAGAGTAAAAGTAGAAGTACTCAGATCTTGTACTAGAGTAAAAGTAGAAGTACTCAGATCTTGTACTTGAGTAAAAGTACAAGTACTCAGATCTTGTACTTGAGTAAAAGTAGAAGTACTCAGGTCTTGTACTAGAGTAAAAGTACAAGTACTCAGATCTTGTACTTGAGTAAAAGTAGAAGTACTCAGGTCTTCTACTTAAAGTATAAGGTTGGAGAAGTCGTTATTTAATTTAATCTGGCTTCGTATGATTAAAAGCAACACGATCATCGACCCGACGCAGTCCCCCGTTGTTGTTGTTGTGAGCTCCGTTGGGGAGCAAATCAGCGATGTAAACGGTGACGTCATGACGCAGCAGCGGCAGCTCTGGGCAGTGTGAACAGAGCGGGAGCAGAAAAGGGAAACCGGAGCTGAACCAGAAAAGCTCTAGCTCGGAGCTAGAAATGGAAAAGCGCTGGTGTGAAAGCCGCAAGAGAGTCCTTTACCTCACTGAGCCTCTCTGACAGGAGAGCTCTCCTCCTCCAAAATCGGCCCTGCCTAGTACATACAGTGGCAATGTCTCAAGATTTAGCAAAAATACACCTTTATTGAACATACAGTAACACAAATACTACAAATCCACATAACAAACAATCAAAAATGAAAAAGGGTCGCCACTTATTATTATTTTAATTAAAATTAAAAAAAAAAAAAATTCTTTTTTTTTGGGTACCTGGCTGGCGCGCCCTAGCAGCGGCGCGCATATTTCAGCAGCGGCGCTGCGCCGCCACTATTTGTATATAGGGGAAACACTGATATATATATATATATATATATATATATATATATATATATATATATACATACACATACAGGGTTGGGTGAAGTGTTTTGCCCAAAATACCAAAATGCCTCATCTGCACTTTTCCCCCTAAAAATGAATTTGAATCAATACTTTTAGATGTAAATGGTTTATTGTATCATTACTATGGGTCTCTGAAACAATCAGACTTTTACCACACTGTTATCAGACTTTTACCACACTGTTATCAGACTTTTAGCAGATTGTATCAGATTTTTAGCGCTGCTGAAACGACTTTAAATCATCAGTGTCACTATTGTGGGGATGTAGGAATGTACCTGTGCCTGGTGTGGAGCCTCCCCGCACTTTAAATCAATTGATTTGCCTATACTTATCGTATTTTCTACTGTTAATGCACTGTGCTCATGTTGGGTGATGCGGTCCCTGGAGCCCTCCTGTGGGGAAACTTGGAACTGCACCTAAAGCCATTTAAAATAGTTTTCTCACTTTTAAAATACTTTCTGCCCTAGAAATGATTTTTAATCAGTATTACCATTATTTAGGGGCTGCATGAACACGTATTTGAGCATCCCTGCACACTTTCCTCCTATTTAAAACGCTTTTCAGTGAGGTGCTGCAGTCTGTTTCTCTCCTGTTTCTCTGCCCCTATTTAAAACACTTTTCCTCCTTCCACCTTGCTAGAGGTGAAATCTCTATTTCAGTCCTGATTTTGGCACATCTTGTAAATTAGCACATCTTGTAAATTTAGCTTTGTGTTTTTATTGAAGTCGCTGTTCATTGTTTTTTATATAAAGCAGATTTAATTATATCCTATGGACGCTGATGTGTGGATGTTGTGTCCTTTTGATAACTTTGTTGAGCTTGTTTTTAGCTGCATGTCTTTTTCTATCTCACTGAACAAAGTCCCTGTTTGTGAACTGGTTCAGCTGATAAGGCTGGTTATGAATCAGAGGGAGGAGCTGCAGACAGGTGAGGGAAGGTGAAAGTAGGAAGGCAGACTGCCAGACACCATTTTACAGCTCGACACGAGGAGAACAACAGGGTGAGTGTTAACACCAGGATCTGCTTTTTAACACATTTATTATTTACTCTGTCAAACTGGATGTGAGAAAATAACTTATTGGTTAACAATCTGCATCCTAGAGTCCAATGAGACTTCTGCAAGTGTTGTAAACTTTTATTATTTCCTGTTTTCTGTTACATAACATAACATGTGACAGCCCAGCGCAGACAAAATGGAGAGCGGCCTGTCTGAAGTCTGTGGCCGTGTCTCAATTCAGGGGCTGCACCCTTCGGAGTACGCAGCCTACGCGGTCCACGGAGGACCCAGCCCACGTAGACCGGGTAGGCTGGACCGAGCGGCCTACGAAATGAGACGGTCTAGCCTACGGAGCGCTTCGTATTTATGTCACGTGATACGCGCTGTTCGGTTGCGTTGCTCCAGCAGCCTGCTAGCAAATTAGCTTACAAGCTAACTCAGCTGAAAAGGATCCAGAAACTTTACTACTTTTACATTTTTTGGAGATCACCGTCGGCGATGAATTAAAGAGGACCATGGCCAGGTAAATAAGATGAAGCTGTTCCTTTAGCCCCCAGTAATGTTACATTAGTAAGTTAACAAGTAAATTATATATAGCTGATGTAATTTAATCATATTATTTCATATTTAAAATAAGTCTTAATTTTTCTGTACTAATAAAACAATATGTTTTTTAAATGAACAAAAGCATGTTGTATAGATTGATTCTTAACAATATTAGTCTTCTAATCTTAATAGCTGTGATCATAACAGTTTATATTCTCCTTCTTCCCCTAAACCTGCCCAGATGATGTCCCACTGACCCCAGGTCAGCACCTCCAGGTCCAGCAGCACCGTGACCCCCCCGCTCTGCTGAAATACACAATTAAACATTTTCTATGACCTTTTTTTTGTATTAATAAAATTAAACTGAAGACAGTTTAATGACCTAGAGATATCCTATTATTCCACTGCTTATGTGTACATGTTGGAAATAATGGTTAAAACCTCAGTAAATGAAATAAACAATGTGTTTAACAATTACAATTTAATATTGTATTTTCATCTTATCACAAAGTAGAGGTAAGAATATATCCATCCTCTCTCTGCAGCTTCATGTCTTCTATTATTATAACTTTCATCATTGAGACAGAGGAAATCAATCATGTTATTTAACATCAGCAGTAAAACAAATATCAGCAAAAGTGTGTTTATGCAGTTGTTTATTTGTATTATATGTGCAGCAAGTATATAGAAGCAGTTGTTTGGGGAATCAGACAGACTCAAGCTATAATCGTTACATATCTATTAAAAGAAAGGACACATGCAAAATCATATTCTGAAACTAAGACACAAGTCTGTAGGACGGCAGTAAGCAGAGGTCTGGGTGGAGGATGTTCCTGATCGCCGTTTTGCTTTCTTCAGCACCACGGGGGGTCCAGGTGGATGGCAGCTCTGTCCTGATGATCCGCTGGGGTTAGGGGTCCTTCTCCAGCACCACGGGGTCCAGGTGGATGGCAGCTCTGTCCTGATGATCCGCTGTGCACTTTTCAGATCAGGGGTCCTTCTCCAGCAGATCCATTTCTCCAGAATTTTACTAATTACAGAGAAAAACAAGAGAAAAATAAAAAAGTGAATTAATCATATTAAACACAGGGTTGTAGAAGTATTATTGCAAAATGTAACTCTAAGCATTTCAGACAAACAATCCCTAAAGGATCATTTAAAATTATGTACTATTCTGGTTTTTAAAAAACTAAAGAGATGAAGACAGTCACACGTGCATCCCTTTGACAGCACGGCACAAACTAACATCAAGCAAAAGGCTGCTGTCTATTTTTGATTGTCTTATTATTATGGGATTAGGATAAATTAAATAAACTTTAACCTTATAAAAGATGATCAAATCTGGTGGAAATATTTAAAATAGGCTTTTCTTTTAGCCCTACCTCAAAGCAGCATGAGCTGAACACAAAGGTTGTAATGTTGTCCCAAAGTTTAATAAACAGTAAAACATTGCTACATGTCAGAGAAATAAATAAAGCAAACAGCAGCTACACGTCAGGGTAGCCTTTTATAAATCCCACCGTACTGTAGGCTATACCGGTCTAAATGTCACTTTGGTCTATTTATGTAATATAAAGTATAACTTATCTATAACAGAGCCAAGATCTCTGTATGACTTTAGTAAACTTCTGAATTGAATTAAAAATAAGTGTAAACAACAGTGCAGTACGTCCAGCTAGATAGTTAGCGTCACATATTTATCCGTATTATTTAACGAAAATGTACGTTTTAATGCCCCTTGGGTTTGACGTGTGTGACGTTAGTTAATTTAAAGTAAGTTAAAACCCAATACTCACATTTATTAGTGATTCCTCCGCTTGCTGTTGCTTTTAAATCCACTCTGCTGGGGAGACCAGAAGCCATTTCATTTGAAAAAAACTCACTCTTCCCTGCGTGCATTGCACCCTGGGATATGGTAGGCCGCGGAGTGTACATCAGATGTATCCTTCAAATTGGGGAAAAGTAGGCTGCATTTGTGGGCCGCATTCGAAGGAGTCTCGTCTTTTTTTTAAATTGGGACAGCCTTCTTTCGGCGGAAGTGACGTATGCGGTCTACGAATGCACCCTTCGAAGGATGAAACCCCTGAATTGAGACACGGCCTGTGTGTGTGTGTGTGTGTGTGTGTGTGTGTGTGTGGTGTTGTGTGTGTGTGTGTGTGTGTGTGTGTAGTGTTGTGTGTGTGTGTGTGTGTGTGTGTGTGTGTGTGTGTGTGTGTGTGTGTGTGTGTGTGTGTGGTGTGTGTGTGTGTGTGTGTGTGTGTGTGTGTGTGTGTGTGTGTGTGTGTGTGTGTGTGTGTGTGTGTGTGTGTGTGTGTGTGTGTGTGTGTGTGTGTGTGATGATTATCCGGGATCAGTATGTTGTTACTTCGGCATCATTTTTGAAACGTGTATTACAATTAAATCACGGTCAAATATGTTCATCTTGTTGTAGTTGTAGCCCCCTTGCCAGCGATTCTCTCTCTAGTTTAGCAAACTCAGCCCGACTCAGCCCTGTTTGTTGGCCCCGATAGAACCACGATTTTGTCGGGCCAGAAAAAAGGTGAAAAAGTACCCCCGGGCCGGAACTAGGCATAGTGGAAACGCAACCAAAAACGGGCCCGACACGGCACGCTTAAACCGCGCTCCGCGCCATGGTGGAAATCCGCCACAACAAGCCGTTTAGGACAGAGAGTGAATACACATACTATACAGAGATGCTGTATGAGAAACCAATGTGATTTTGGGAAATTGCACAATATAATTTTTTTTTTTAGTATACCTCAACAATGGAATTATGATCAGTGAAATGACCATGACATGGGACCTTTAAGACTTGGAGTTCCTGAAACAGCACTATGTTGATTATGAGTGTTAGTTCATTGCCACTGATACTAAGTAATTAGAAACAAACACAATCTTAAGTGAAATTTGGGTTTGAGTGCCTGTTTCCTGCAGAAACAATTGCTTGGGCCCCTTGAGACAAGAAAAGCAATGTTGTTGATGTTATTCATATCAATGTATTTTTACATCTTTATACAAGTTTAGGAAAAAGCCAAATTCACTCAACACTATAAGCTCTTTCATTCATGTGGTCCTCCGGGCGGTTTTATAAAAGCATAGTGTGACAATGGTTGCTGTCCCCAATATGTTTTTAACTTTAATAAAATCCAGCTTCTCAGAGACATTTGATTTTGGTTTCAGAAAAGCAAATTAACTGTCTTTATTTTTTTGCCCCACTTTTCTTACGTGTGTGTGTGTGTGTGTGTGGGTGTGTGTGTGTGTGTGTGTGTGTGTGTGTGTGTGTGTGTGTGTGTGTGTGTGTGTGTGTGTGTGTGTGTGTGTGTGTGTGTGTGTGTGTGTGTGTGTGTGTGTGTGTGTGTGTGTGTGTGTGTGTGTGTGTGTGTGTGTGGTGTGTGTGTGTGTGTGTGTGTGGTGTGTGTGTGTGTGTGTGTGTGTGTGTGTGTGTGTGTGTGTGTGTGTGTGTGTGTGTGTTACTGGTTTATCTCTCAGACTGGAGAACATGAGTGATTTAAAAGAAGAGGACAAATCTCCAGTCTCCAGGTGTCTGTCTCTGAAGAGTGTCCGGTCTATGACTCCACCTCTAAACTTCAGTATTGAACCTGGACCCTCAGACACAAAGTAAGAGTTTCTACTGTAAACTGACCTGAAGACGATCCCGTTTTTTTGGTATCTGATAATCTAAACTGTTTAATGAAACCCAGTAGAGTACATTAACCAAGTGTAATTGATCTCTTGCTTCTTGTCATCATCAGCAATAGTAAATAATCTACTAGTGAAATCATCCTCACTCTCTACATGTTGGACTTTGTGTTCAATTAAGCAAATAAAATACAAATATGTAAAACGTTTCACACTCAAATGAATTTTAACAACAGAAACCCACAATCACGACTCAAAAACTCTAAACATCTTTAATAAGGTGAACAGTCATAGATCAAAAGCTGCTCTTTAAATGAACTAATGATGTTTAAACATGTGTTGTTTCCACAGACAGAGAGCAGAGTCTACGGTCTCCATGTGGTCTCTGAAGAGTGACTGGTCTAAAGATCAACCTATATACTTCAGTAATGAACCTGGACCCTCAGACACAAAGTAAGAGTTTCTCCTGTAAACTGACCTGAAGAGGATCCAGTTTTGATGTAATCTAATATATCAAACTGTTCTTTAATGATATCATGTGGCAGTTTGTAAAGGGAAAACGCAGCAGAGTAAGCTAACATTATCTAAGGATATTTCAATATGCAATTATATTATCATTGTATCTGTGTATAACATGGTTTTAAATAGCAAAAATGTTTATAAATACTGATTTAAAAACTTAACTTATAAAAACTTATATTTAACATTATTTACCAAATTGGGCATGTCTATGATATGTCTTTTTAAGATGTTTATTAATAATAGTGATAACCTGGTGAGCTGGTTGTGTTTAGCATTAGCAGATAAAATAGAGTTTTGTGAAATCACATGTAGAGTCAATACAAAGACCCAGATCCGTGCCTGGCAACATGAAGGAAATGAAGATGTTAAATTCATATCACTTGCGTATTCGTGCAGCGTGAAACATTTCAACTTGAGTGTAAAGTTTGTGACGCTCTGTTACAAAAACCTGTCAGTGTTGAGATTCTGCTCCTGTGGTCTCTGACGGTCTGAGGGGAATCAGAGAGGAGAACAGAGCTCTACAGCAGCTCATATTAAATCAGGGTTATTCATGTTCCTGTATAAACCAGAGACTGTGGCCCAACCACGCCCTACACCCTACCCCTACACACTACCCCTCCGTGACGGAGTGAACTCCGTGGAGTGACACTCGCAGCTCAACGAGGCTCCCTCCTGTCAGATGGAGGGAGTAAATACAGCGGCGAGCTTTGGGACAAACTCCCCTCTCTCCGGCAGAAACAGGAAATGCCGTAACTGTATGTAACAACGGTTTCAAATCAGCATCTCTTAGACAAAAAAATACACTTAATAACTAAAATAAAACTCCAAACATCTTTAATTGTGTTACTTTTTTGTAAAGCTCTTTTAGTTTTAAACCTGATGTTTATAAGCTTCTTAGTTTTTACAACAGTCTGTAAATATACACAACTTTATAATAAAATGCACACATTTACCTTTTTCTAGACTAAACACAGGTATGATCCTAAGTTAAAAAAATGGATTATTATGAGGTTGTTAACATCGCAATTTATCAGTGGATGTTTGCTGGAACTACTTGTACACAGCTTGTTTCCTGACAGACACACACAGCGTTGAGACCGGTCAGGTAGTGACCGGTCTCAACGATGTGTGTGTCCGTGTGTGTGCGGTCTCCAGTCAGCACCGATGCAGACTCGCTGTTTGAGGGCTTGATAACCCACTCCCCCTCCACACTCGTTGGTTTGGAACAGCACTTAATGTGGCGGACTCTCCGCACGAACGCGCAAACGGAGGGGTAGTGTGTAGGGGTAGTATGTAGGGGTAGGGCGTGGTTTGGGATTGGGCCTCTCTGTGGTGCTAACAATATCGTGACTGCTGTATTTATGACTTCATGAAGTCATTCTGGGTGTTGATGGAGCAGCTAATGTTAGCCTAGCTTTAATCAAACCGGTCTCATTCAGTAAAAAAACATTTTAAAAGGTTTTTATGCTCATTGTGTTGGAGACAGACCTGACAAAGCATTAACTCAGCTTTTTACAAATCAGTATCATTCTGTTGTTCATTAGGCATCCTTTCCATATGTTTATTGCTATTAATTTACAGCAGATTCTATGCAAGTTGGGTTTATAATGCACCAGGTTAATACAGCTGTGTGTGTAGATACAGGGAACATGTGCTCCTCTGGGTGATGAATCCAGACAGGATGCTCTTTGGTTTTATGATAATGTGAATTGTAAGCTATCTACCTGATCACAAGGGTATATTATATAGACCTTTTTTAAATATTAAACTAGAATTTGCCCCCTTGTTGTACCTTTGGTGAGAATCAGCTCCACTAATGTAAAGTGCTATAAAGCAGTGGTTCTCAACTGGTGGGTCGCGGACCCGTTTCGAGTGGGTCGCAGATGTGTGAGTGAAGAAAAAGAAATTGAAAAAGGGAAAAAAGTCAAACTTTCATTTTGAAAACTTCTGTCACGTAGTGATCATCTTCTCAATAAAACATCTTTGCACGAGTCTTCTGGCCAATCAGAATCAAGATAGTTGCCGGAAGTCCCCACGGAGAATAACTTTGCGGTTGAACTATTCTTTATACATCCATGGGTACAACTTCAGATAAAAATGAACACATAATGAAATATGACCCCCCGGTTTGATGACGGACAGGTCACAGAACAATGGGAGCTATCTACCCTTACCCACAATTTAAAGTAAGTCACACAGACTATCTCCTCTTTACTCTTCTCTCTGTGTGGAGCAGCAAGTTCAGCTGTCAGAACAAAGTGAAAAACAAAAAGTGGCATAAAATATTATTAATATTTCGGGTAGTAATAGATTTATTTTCTTCTCGGAGTGTACCAGAATGCGTAGTTTATATGTTAGTATTTCTAAAAATCTCCTGGGGGGACCCCCTTCTGGGGTTGGGTTTCCAGCATGTCACGTTTTTCACGTGTGGTGAATTGTGCCTTTTTATGTTATACAGTTCAGCTTTGATTCCATCATCTCATTAAAAGCATTCTTTAGTTCTGTGAAAGGATATATGCACTGTACTTCACATTAAATAATAATGTATGCTGAAAAGCATATATATTACAGCACGATTTTTTGTTGAGTAGATTTGAGTGGTTCAAAATTTCGGGGGCGCGATTTATTGACAAACAGGGTGCGTACGGGTGCTGGAAATCCTTGAAAATGCTTGAAATTGTACGAGGTGTTTTCAAGGTTTGAAAAGTGCTTGAATTTTGGGAATGGTGCTTGAATTTGGGATAAAGTGCTTGAAATTGTAAATGCTTTACTTCGCTTTTTAGATTAAAAGAAAATAAAGAAGTCGGAGCGCACTTAATTGCTTCGCTTTTACATAAAACAGCTCCGCTCCGGACTTCCCGCGCAATGCGCGTGACCTGCAAGTGTTTTTGTTACGTGTGTGACCTGGGCATTCTGATGAGAGTGATAGATGACAGTATGCCAGGAGGTTGCCGTTTCAACGAGCGTTGGCTAGCAGAAGACAAATACAAGCCATGGCTAAGACGAGGGTCAAGCGAAGCCCAAGAGTAGCCTCCTGCAAAGTGTGCAACAATAACGATGCGAGAGTCTGCGCTGACGAGCCACACACCACACAAAAGGTACGCTGTAGTAGAACATGTAAAATACATGACACTTTTCTCTGTGCGCGGCAAAACAAGCTCGCCAAAATGGCTTCACTAGTCTGGCAGTATTTTAAGTGTCCGAAAATGACAATAAAATAGCGGTATGCAACGTGTGTGAGAAGCAGAAATCCTGCAGCTCCACCTGCTGTGACGGACCGGTGAGCGGAGCAGAACACACATTAAAGCTCCCATGTCATGCTTTTCCGGTTATTACCCGTCCCCTTGTGTGTTATGAAGGTTTTTATGCATGTAAACGGTGTGCAGAGTCAAAACCCTCAAAGTACACCCTGTAGCGAGTAAAACTCTAACACAGAAAATACCTCCCCAAAACGCCTCGTTGGAGATACGTCACTGCCCATTTGATTCTTCCGGGTACCGCATGATGTCATGCGGTACCCGGAACGAAATGGACCAATCCCGAAGAGCTATGGCCACACCAGCAGCGGCGTGTTCCTCCTCCAGAGGTTCGAAGAACCGGCATTTCACAGACGAAAGCTTCCAAAACATGCCCAGTTTGAGGCCGGATATGCACAGCTTGTTTGGACCGTTTGGAGCAGGGGAAGATCTGGGTATACAACCTGTAAGTTTGCATTGTTATTTGTGTATTTATCAAACAAGACTGTTTAAATGGGTAAACTGTGTTGGACTGCTAAGCCATTGACACAGTGCTAACTGTGCTAACTAAGTTGCTAGAGTTTCCATATATCAACTCTAATATCAGCAGATGGCCTTGCATACATGTATCTCATAGCAGGAGAATGTCTGCATTCACACACAAAATACCTATTGACAGTATACTGCGGGTGATTTGCCGGTCAGTCGCGAAACGTAATTACATTATAGCTGGCGTAGCGATCTAACACACGGAGCTAGAGCTAGTTTTGGTCAGAAAAACATTTTTGTGATGCTACGTTGCTAGCGTTTAAATATATCAACTACAATGTCAGCAGATGGCCTTACATGTTTGTCATGGCAGGAGAATGTCTGCAGTCACACACACGGAATACTCATACAGTATACTCCGGTTTACCGTACATTGTGACCGTACATATACTGCATGTAGCTAACGAGGCTAGCTGTATGCTAGCGCAAAACAATGTATTCATGCAAGTTACATTGTATGGTAGCAGAATACCCGTATATGATTGCAATTATAAACACGTTATTGCTAGCCTAATATGAACCACTAGCTTTTGTTCATAGTAGTTTTATTACACTGCATTATAGTTGCCTTTCCTCCAAGCTAACGTTCATATCGTGTTAGCTACCAAGGTAAACAAAGCTAGGTTAGCATATTAGCAGGCAAGCTGTTCATTACACAACTACTACTAACGAATCTAAAACAACTAAGTTTCTCTAATATTTTGTGATTTGCATTTGATTTCGTCCAGCCAGATCCTGGCGGACAATCCATGACGGGGAAGGGATTCTACTACTACTGAGGCCTCGTGCTAAAAGGCACCGCACCGCACCGGCTGTGCGCAGGCAAGAGGAGGAGGAATGGATGATATACCGTGTGTATATATGTATATTTATGTTCATTTTGTACATTTCTAAAAATAAAGTTTAATGGAAATACTTAGTAGGCCTATCCTTTCTTCCCTGAATTCATATATAGCAAACCATGATTTGATTTCTCATCAAACAGTAGTAGTTTATAACGGGTAAAAATAACTTACTCTTTGTTATGAGAGTAGCTCGTAGGCCACAACGGAAAGACAAGGAGACATACACGAGTTTACAAAACCACGGCACATTTATTGTGGTAAATGCAGAGACAGGTGGTTGAGAGGATCGCAGAGTTAGTCTTCCTGCAGCCGCTTGGAGAGAGACTGGGGCCGTAGTGTCCGGAGGTGTCCGTGATCGTGCTGATTAGCCTCTTCAGCTCCACCCCATCGTAAGACAAAGGCCCTGGGGCCGTCACACTCTTCTATAACAACAGTTAAAAATATATATGTATATAAAATATACCGCTGTACCGACGCCATGATAAGACTGATGTTACGCTGAGAGCAGCCGGGAAAAGCACTGACATGGGCGCAGCCTCTCTGGTGGTTGACTAATCAGAACGAGTGGCCGAGCTGACCAATCGGAGCACACTAGGCTCACAGGGAGGGGGGGGCAAGAGCTCCAACGAGTCGTTTAGTGGAGAAAGTGAATACTGCTGAATACACATGCTTGACAGAGATGCTGTATGCGAAATCAATGTGAGTTTGGAAAATTGCACAGTATAAATCTATTTTAGTATACCTCAACAATGTAATTATGATCAGTGGAAATGGCCATGACATGGGCCCTTTAAGAGTTAGACCTAACACACTTAGCTATTTTATCTACCTCTGGAACAAGCTAAACTAGTTATAAATATATGTATTCTTCACTGTCGGGTCGCTCATTACTGGATCAGTGAGCTGCAGGAGATACTGACGGGCTGTCAGGAGAGAGAGAGAGAGGGGGAGAGAGGAAAAGAGAGCGGTATCGGCCGATACTGATTCCGGCGATCGGCTCCAAAATTGGCGATCGGAGCATCCCTAATAATTGTATATGATATGTTTTATAATGATTGATCATGAAAGTGTTATCAAAGCTGGTAAAGTTGCAGCTAGTTTGAATGACTTTGTATACTACAGAGTAGCTTGTGGATTTACTCCAGGTGGAACTAAAGTCTGATTTAACACTTGATTATATTTCACATCATTCATCCACATCTGTAAAGTAACTAAAGGTATTAAATACATGTAGTGGAGTCAAAGTACACCATTTACCTCTGACTTGTGTTTACTGCCAACCTAAAAGTACCTCAAAAATAGTAATCAATAATATATTGAAAAGTTATTTGTCTGATTGTTTTATATTGGCTCAGCCAGGTTATATGGGATGCCCAGTCTACGTACAGATGGGTCACACATTTTGAAATTGTTTGTTTGTTTGTAGCCTTTATTTATCCAGGTTAAAAATCCCATTGAGATCAACGATCTCTTTTACAAGGGAGACCTGCGGTACATTGAGTTACACATATAAAAACAAACAGAAACAAAAAGGACATCACAACATAATTACAGGGGTATACATTAGCACCTATTTACATTTACAGGTATCCAATAATATTTCATCCAGTCGTGCTTTAAAATGATGCAAGGGAATCAAAATGCTGAGTTTCAATATTTTTTGCATAGTGTTCCAAGCCAGAGGAGCAGCGCACATAAAAGCTTTAGCACCTAAAACAGTCCTAGCACTTGGCACATGTAATAAAAACACATCCTGTGATCTCAGGCAATAGCTACTTGCCACTCTCCGTGAGATCAAGGAGCAGATATAAGAAGGTAGTTTACCCAGCATGGCTTTATATATGAATATGTACCAATGACTGAGCCTCCGAACAGTAAGTGAAGGCAGACCTGCCTTGGCATACAGGGTACAGTGATGAGTAAGTGCTTTACAGTTAGTAACAAATCTCAGAGCACTGTGATAGGCGGCATCTAACCTTTCCAGGCAATGGGCAGGTGCATTCATGTAGATCAAATCACCATAGTCTAGCACAGGTAAAAAGGTCACAGTGACTAGCCTTTTCCTGGCTTCAAAAGAGAAACAGGACTTGTTTCTGAAAAAGAAACCTAATCTAACACTCAGCTTTTTAAGCAGATTAGTGACGTGAAGTTTAAAAGTAAGACAATCATCAAGCCAGATACCAAGGTATTTGTAACAGCTAACCACTTGGAGTACTTGTCCTTGCATAGTCAAAATATCCAAAGCAGTCTCTGGAGTCTTTTTAGCTTTAGAAAAGAGCATTACCTTGGTTTTCTCAACATTTAAAAGAAGCTTTAGTTCAGAGAGCTGAGTCTGAATAATGTTAAAAACAGCCTGTAATTTAACAACAGCCTCCTTAATGGAGGGACCTGCACAGTACATCACGGTGTCATCCGCATAAAAATGCAAAGTAGCTTCATCCACATTTTCACCTAAACTATTGATGTATATGGAGAATAAAAGTGGACCTAAAACAGAACCTTGAGGAACACCATTAGCAATGTTCAACTACTCAGAAGACAGCCCATCAAAGTGAACACATTGGGACCTTTCAGAGAGGTAGTTCACAAACCACCCCACTGCATGGCTGGATAAGCCAATACTGAGTAGCCTCTGCTTTAAGATGCGATGATCGACGGTGTCAAACGCTTTGGAAAGGTCAATAAATAGAGCTGCACAACTCTGCTTTTTATCTAAAATACTTGTAATGTCATTCACCACTTTCATTGTGGCAGTGATGGTGCTATGTTGCTTTCTGAAGCCTGACTGATGTTTTGACAGGATGTCATTTGTACATAAAAACACCTTTACCTGTTCACTCACTAGGCGTTCAAGAACCTTAGCCAGAACTGACAATTTAGAGATGGGCCTATAGTTATTTAAAACAGTTGCCTCCCCTCCTTTCAGCAAAGGCAGGACATACGCTGACTTCCACAGTTTTGGAATTGTGTTTGTGCTGAGGGAGAGGTTAAAAAGAGTAGTGAGAGGTGGAGCAATAAAATCTGCAGCTATCTTTAAAAAGAAAGGTTCCACGTTGTCCGGGCCGGCCGGTTTCTTAGGATCTAACTTGGTTAAAGCTTCACGAACAACATCAACAGTAAAAGGAGTAAAACTGAAAGGGTTTTCCAGACCACATTGTTCAGAGTCACCGACTGTGGTGTTCACAAAAGCAGAGTTAGTCACAGAATCAAACATAGAACCGCAGGACACAAAATGCTCATTAAAACAATTTAACATAGTAGCCCCGTCCGATATAGAGCCAGATGCTGTGGTAATGCACGGAGGTAGCTCATTTCGGATCTCACCGGTGGATAGCGATTTTATGGCTTTCCAAAATTTCCTAGGATTATTTAGGTTTTCTAAATAATCCTTGGAAATTTTGGAAATATTAAACTTAGTTTTCTTTTCTGACATTTTTAATTTTTCATCCTCATGTAGAATGCTATTATGAAACACACATTTGGTTGTTTATAGCATAAAGAACATCTGATTTAATGTGAGGTAGGGAAATAATCATTTGAGTATAAGTATGTGTATATAAATATGTAATTTACAACAGCTGTAAGATGCTTGAAAAGCTTGAAAATGCACCTTGAAAATGCTTGAAAAGTGCTTGAATTTGACTTTGGAAAAGGTGTAAGAACCCTGGACAAAGGAAAAAGTGGGTCCCGAGGCCTGACCAGTTGAGAACCACTGCTTTAAAGGATGTGTTTATCTCCACAGAGGGAAGAGGAAGAGTGGTGTTCCTGTGGAGGAGCATCTGTCCAGCTGTGCTCTGTGTCAGGACGTCCTGAAGGATCCAGTCTCTACCAGCTGTGGACACTGGTTCTGCAGACAGTGCATCACCTCATACTGGGAGCAGCGACCTCCATCAGGAGACTCCTGCTGTCCCCAGTGTGGGAAAAGATCCAGAACCAGAGCTGGCCTGCAGACAGCCAGTCAGACCAGCTCTGTACGAGGTAAGACTCCGAACACATGCAGCGTCTTATTCTTCTTCCTCGTTATTTTTTTTTTTTTTTATTAGGTATTCTGTTGTAGAGCATAGACATTCAAATGTTTATAAAACATTTAAACTCAGTCTGTTTTTATTAGTTGTATTGTTGGATTGTCAAAAGCATTTTCCTGATTCTCTCCTGTTTCCTTCTCTTTCAGCAGATAGTGGTCTGCAGGAGGTTTTAGATGAACATAGGCTCAGTCTGAAGAGGAGATGTGAACGTGTGACTGAAGGAACTGGTGAAAATGAAACCCTCCTCAACAGGATATTCACTGAGCTCTACATCACACAAGGCCAGAGTGAAGAGGTTAATACCCAACATGAAGTGAGGCAGCTGGAGACAACTTCCAAGAAGATGACCCTCCATGACACTCCAATCAAGTGCCAGGACATCTTTAAAGCCTCACCTGACCAACAGACTCACATCAGAGCGGTCCTGACCAACGGAGTCGCTGGAGTTGGAAAAACCTTCTCAGTGCAGAAGTTCACTCTGGACTGGGCCGAGGGTTTGGAAAACCAAGATGTCAGTCTGGTGATCCCGCTCTCCTTCAGGGAGCTGAACCTGATCAAAGATGAGCAGTACAGTCTTCTCAGGCTGCTCCATGTTTTCCATCCAACCTTACAGGAGGTCACAGCAGAGCAGCTGGCTGTCTGTAAAGTGCTGCTCATCTTTGACGGCCTGGATGAAAGCAGACTTTCTCTGGATTTCAGAAACAAGAAGGTTGTGTCTGATGTCACACAGCAGTCCTCAGTCAACGTGCTGCTGACAAACCTCATCAGGGGGAAGCTGCTTCCCTCGGCTCTCGTCTGGATAACTTCCAGACCTGCAGCGGCCAATCAGATCCCTCCTGAGTGTGTGCACAGGGTAACAGAAGTACGAGGCTTCACTGACGCCCAGAAGGAGGAGTACTTCAGGAGGAGGTCGAGTGATGAAGAACTGTCCAGCAGAATCATCTCTCACATCAAGAGCTCCAGGAGCCTCCACATCATGTGTCTAATCCCAGTCTTCTGCTGGATCACTGCTGCAGTTCTGGACCACATGTTGACTACAGACCAGAGAGGAGAGCTGCCCCAGACCCTCACTGACATGTACTCACACTTCCTGCTGGTCCAGACCAAGAGGAAGAAGCAGAAGTATGAAGAGGGACATGAGACGAGTCCACAGCAGCTGACAGAGGCTGACAGGGAGCTTCTTCTGAAGCTGGGGAGGCTGGCGTTTGAACATCTGGAGAAAGGAAACATCATGTTCTACCAAGAAGACCTGGAGCGCTGTGGTCTTGGTGTCACCGAGGCCTTGGTGCACTCAGGAGTTTGTACAGAGATCTTCAAAAGAGAGAGAGTGATCTTCCAGAAAACAGTCTACTGCTTTGTTCATCTGAGCATTCAGGAGTTTCTGGCTGCAGTGTACATATTCCACTGTTACACCAAAAGAGACACAGCGGTACTGAAGGACTTCCTGAAGAAAGACTGGCCCTATAAGATCAGTAAAACCAGTGATCAGGATTACCCATCCCTGGATTTCTTCCTAAAGGGAGCCATGGCGAAATCCCTCAGAAGTAGAAATGGCCACCTGGACCTGTTTGTCCGCTTTCTCCACGGCCTCTCTCTGGAGTCCAACCAGAGACTGTTAGGAGGCCTGCTGGGTCGCACAGACAACCGTCCAGAAATCATCCAGAGAGCCATCAGCAACCTGAAGGAGAAGAGAACAAAAATCTCTCCTGAAAGGAGCATCAACATCTTCCACTGTCTGACAGAGATGAAGGACCACTCAGTACATCAGGAGATCACAGAGTTCCTGAAGTCAGAGAACAGATCAGAGAAACTCTCTGAGATCCACTGCTCTGCTCTGGCCTACATGCTGCAGATGTCAGAGGCGGTTCTGGATGAGTTTGACCTGAACAAGTACAAAACATCACAGGAGGGGAAACAGAGACTGATTCCAGCTGTGAGGAACTGCAGGAAGGCCAAGTAAGTCCAGATGTGATTAACGTTATAAACTAATGTGGATCAGGAGTTTAATTATTCAACTAAACACGACAACATTTCTGCTGTTTAAATACTGAGAGCAAAATAAACCAACACTGTTCTTCTATTTATTTATTTATAATAATAGTTAAACTGAACCGTTCCTCTCTTCATATTGAGTGATGGAGGCGACATGTCAAACACATGAAGGACTTTAGAGGTTTCTCAGCATGTGACAACACCACACAGCAGGACTTACAGTTATCAGTTATTATTACTTTCTAGTAGTTTCTTTATCATTAAACACACACGTTTTTATCACAATGTTTTAGAGTTTAAAATAAGATCTATATCATATCCCACCAATACCAGAGTTATGTCTTAATACTCATATAGTGAGAACATCTGATGGTATTCAGTTTAAAATATTGAAACTTTATTGGTTTGTTAATTGTGTTTGTGTGCACAATACATTTCCAGATGTTCAGAGAAGCCAAAACATCCATCATTCACATCTAAATATGAATTAACATTTAAATATGTACATCTCTAATATTGTCAAGTGATTTATTTAATTTCTGTTTCTTTTGGTAACAGTCAGTGACAGCAGGAGCACAGACATGTGATCAGATCACACTGACAACACATTAAACTCTATTATATATTATTATATATAAAATGGACTAACAGCAAATCTCAATCAGAACATATGTAAAATATTTTTTTCATCAAATGCTTGAGGTCATTATGTTTCCTCTTTTTTTTTAACACCTGTTGTAATATATGTGTTATTATAGACTTATTAAATGTGGACTCTCAGAGGCTCACTGTGAAGTCGTGGCCTCAGCTCTGAAGTCTGACCCCTCCCATCTGAGAGATCTGGACCTGAGTAACAACGAGCTGGAGGACTCAGAAGTGGAGCTGCTGAGTTCTGGACTAAAGAGTCCAAACTGCAGACTGGAGGCTCTCAGGTCAGTTCACTGACTGAACTTCATCTGTTTGTGTTTATCATTTTCTGAATGTGAAATAAATACATTCAAATTATTTTTGCCATTTTTGCTAATGACTGAATATTGATCAGAATAACAAAGAGAAGGTGAATGTGTGAGGGAGAGTGTTTGAGCTTCCACAGACTCACTCTGTGCTCCATGAGTCAGTGGAGATGCTGTCAGTACTGATGAGCTGTGAGGGAGATGAAGGAGTTGTTAAACATCTGATCAAAGTTAAAGGTCCAGATTATCAATGGATTGTTTCTGCGTCATGACGACATTACTCAAATGTTGGCGGGCTTTACACCCACGTCTTCTGGAAGTAATATGGTCTGTGTTTACATTAGCATGGCTAACACTCAGAGCTAACCTGTACTGGAGAGAGTATGTGTAAAGAAGTAGGAAATAAAAAGGAACTCACCTTGTGGTATACCTGAGAGAGAAAAAGAGTTTGAGCTCCATACTGTTTCAGAGATAATCCTTGATGTGGTTTGGAACATGATATGGAGTTTAATCACGGCAGAGTTTAGCTGAGTTTCTGCTGGGAGAATTCTGATCAGGCATTAGCTCCACCTCCTTTTTTTTCAAGCTAAGGACCCCGAACCTGCTCTTCAGAGGGATATGAGGAATTTCTAAAATGCATGATCTGTTTGGTATTTTGAACAAAACACATCATAGACATGTTTTTATATATTTCTATATATCTGAGAGAATATATGCCTAAAAATAGCATGATAGGAGAACTTTAAAACCCTGTTTAACTCTGATCAGATTATTAATTTTATATTTACACTGACGGAAACCAATAGAATCTAATATAGAGTTAAATGCAACAGTAAGGCTATTTTTATCATCGTCAACATGAATATTAAAGTCACCTACGATAATTACTTTGTCTGTTTTAAGTACCAAAGTTGATAAAAACTCAGAGAATTCTGATAAGAATTCTGAATAAGGACCTGGTGCACGGTACACTGTAACAAATAAGATTGGCTGCAAAGTTTTCCAGGTCGGATGCATAAGACTAAAAACAAGACTTTCAAAGGAGGTATAATTTAATTTTGGATTAGTATTGATAAGTAAACTTGAGTCAAAGATGGCTGCAACTCCACCTCCTCGGCCTGTGCCTCGAGGAATATGAGTATTGATATGGCTGGGTGGAGTGGCCTAATTTATGCTGACATATTCTTCGTCTCAACCAAGTTTCAGTGAGACAGCATGTATCAATATTATAATCTGATATTAAATCATTTACCAATATTGCTTTAGATGCTAGAGATCTTATGTTTAAGAGACCACATTTAATCTTCCTATTTTGTTGTACTGTAGTAGTTGTTACATTTACTTTGATTAGGTTATTATGTATGACACCTCTATTAGGTTTTACCTTAAATTGTCCTTGGGCACACACCGTTAATATTGGGTATTTTATTGGGTTCGGGATTCCTATGAATGACTGCCCAGGAGAGAGCGCGTAAGAGAGCGTAAGAGAGCGTGTAAGACTGCGACTCCGCCTCCTGGTCTCAACTCCAGTTTGTCATGGATTACGTCCACAAAGCCCTGAAATGTTTGCCGAATTGAGATGTGCACCTTCCAGAGTAGGATGAATGCCGTCTCTCTTAATCAGACCAGGTTTTCCCCAGAAGGCTGTCCAATTATTTACGAAGCCCACATCGTTTGCTGGGCACCACCAAGACAACCAGCGCTGAAATGATGACATGTGGCTATACATGTCGTCATTGATCAGATTGGGGAGGGGACCAGAGAAAATTACGGTGTCCGACATTGTTTTAGCATAACTACACACCGACGCCACATTAACTTTAGTGCATTCTGATTGGCGTAAACGAACATCATTACCACTGACGTGAATAACAATCCTACTGTATTTACGTTTATTTTTAGCCAGCAGTTTAAGATGCGCCTCAACGTTGCCCGCTCTGGCCCCCGGAATGCATGTGACTGTGGAGGCTTTGGTCTCTAAATTCACGTGTCTCATAATAGAGCTACCAATAACCAGAGTTGGCTTCTCAGCGGGTGCCTCGCTGAGTGGGGAAAATGTGTTAGATACGTGAACGGGTTGGTGGGGACCTGCGGGTTTCGCGTTATGCCTCTTCTGAACAGTCACCCAGTCTCCCTGCTGCTCGGGAGTTGTCGGGGGACGGCTAGTAGGAGCTACCTTTTGCCGGTCTGCACTGACTAAGATGGGCTTTACTGTAGCTGAGTTACTTTCTAAAATGCGGAGCCGGGCTTCTATAGCTATGATTCCCGCCTCCAACCTAACAACTATACTACATTTATACTACTTAAAAAGGGTTATTAACGCCTTTGTTACCTCAAGACTGGACTATTGCAACGCTCTGTATGTGGGTATGGACCAGGCCTCAATTAAACGCCTGCAGCTAGTCCAAAACGCAGCTGCACGTTTGCTGACTGGCCACAAAAAGCGTGACCACATCACCCCAATTCTGGCCTCACTACACTGGCTTCCAGTTCGGTTCAGAATTGATTTTAAAATCCTTTTATTTGTTTTTAAAGCACTAAATGGGCTGGCTCCGGCCTATATAGCAGAACTCCTCCAGCGCTACACCCCAGCCAGAGCTTTAAGGTCGGCTGACCAGCTGCTGCTGGTAGTGCCCAAGACCAGGCTCAAAACCCGAGGGCACCGAGCCTTCGCAGCAGCTGGCCCTAGGCTCTGGAACACTCTGCCCCTCCATGTGAGGTCGGCCCAGACCCTAGGGGTTTTTAAATCTACACTAAAAACACACTTCTTCTCTCTGGCCTTCTACTTAGAGCGGAGCACGACTCCTGACTTTTCCTTGTGTTTTTTTTTTATTTTATTTTTTTTATATATATATATCTGTTATCTGATTATAGTAATGTGTTTTTGTTACATGTACAGCACTTTGGCTCGACCAAAAATCGCTTTTAAATGTGCTTTATAAATAAAACTTGATTTGATTTGATTTACATTTAACACATGTATCGGTACCAGTAAAGGAGGTAGGGGAATAACCAAACATGAGACGGGTCGAGCAGGAAATAGCACCCGAGGGTGGGGAAAAAGCCATGGCTAGCTATCAAGCTAAAGTAGCTACCGTTAGCAAACCCGAAAAGAGTGTAGGCAACTGTGGAGTTACAGTCGCTAAGAGAAGGACAGTTGTGAGTGCTTAAGCTGTAGTAACGTGTGATTACAACGTCAGGCAGTTGCCGTGAACAAGAGTTTTAAAACGATCGATTTAAGTTAAGATAATATAAGCTATCAGCAGCAGAACAGGCACACAGGATACCCGGAGGTGACAACAACAACCGGAAGTTACAACACGCTTACCGCAATAGTGAGGGTCCGTGTAGAAACACCAGTTTCTAAAGTTTTCTAAAGTTAAATCATGTTTTCTTTATTCAGACTGTGGATCTGCAGTTTGTCGGAGATCAGCTGTTCTGCTCTGATCTCAGCTCTGAAGTCCAACCCCTCCCATCTGAGAGAGCTGGACCTGAGTAACAACGATCTGAAGGATTCAGGAGTGGAGCTGCTGAGAGATCTTCTGGAGAGTCCAGACTGCAGACTGGAGACTCTCGAGTTAGTTCACTGACTCTCTGTTACTGCTGGAGATCTCATGTTTCATTAGTTATTCAACCTGATTCTTCGACATCATTAACTTACATCCATTAAGTTGTAAATGTTCTTTTATTCATACTTTCATTTGTAGGTACTAAAGTAAGAACTGCAGAGACAAATGTTGACTGATTCTTAAAGGAACTGTAATAGATGTTAATTGTTCAAATTAAATCTATGTTTTTAATATTTAGTAAACGATAACGTCTGAATAAAGTTAATCTGAAGTAATATTAGTTTTACATGATAAAGTTGACTTTCTGAAGAAGACATATGTTTTTGTTCCCATTCATTTCAATGTTGAATAACACATCTGATTATAAACAGATTTTTATCCTCATCATGTTTTCTTTATTCAGACTGGTTAACTGCAGTTTGTCAGAGATCAGCTGTTCTGCTCTGGCCTCAGCTCTGAAGTCCAACATCCATCTGAGAGATCTGGACCTGGGTCTCAATGATCTGAAGGGTTCAGATGTCAAGCTGCTGAGAGATCTTCTGGAGAGTCCAGACTGCAGACTGGAGACTCTCGGGTCAGTAAGGGGTCTCTGCTGGTTCAGCAGTATTGTATGAAACACAGGGAGGTGTTTCTCTCGCTGGGGAAACAGATCAGTGATGTTACCCACTGACTGCAGGCTCTTTCATTCTTCCATCAACTATAGAAGGCCAGCTAGAAATGCAAAGCCACACTTTAGTAATCAACTCTCTAACAGACATATGGGGTTTTACAGAAGAGTGGGAAAGGTAGTCTGTTCTTATGGGATGTTTTTAGTTTCTAGACCAGGGGTGTCCAAACTGCGGCCCGGGGGCCAAATGCGGCCCTCAGCAAATTCTGAAAGTATAATGAAATATGGCCCACACATAAAACTTGTGATTGTCTTATATTGTACTTCTTAAATATATATGTAAACATATATTACACAGTAGTATTCATGTGTTAATAAGCCCACTTTTAAAATAAATGCAGTTCATTAAAGCTGAAAACATTTTCTAACAAATCTAACTTGATAAGAGAAAAGCCCAATAACTTATTTTTACAACAAGCGTGAAATAATAAAGGAATGAGCTGCTAACAGAATAAAGTAAACCCTCTGGAGAGCTGTGAGCTGTTTTGTTTCTTAAAGCATCTTCAAGTAACAAGCATCATTTACCTTCATTTGATTGAGTTTTCTGACTTATAACTTAAAGTGGACCTATCATGCTATATTTGAATAATATAGTGTAGGACCATACCTATATAAGGCATATTTATACTTTTTTTTTTTTCAAAATACCAAACAGATCATGCATTTTAGCCATGCCTCATTTCGCTCAATTTGAAAAATGTTAGCTCTGTTTTTGCAAGGGTTGATTCTGTGAGCAACAGCACCATCTAGAGGCCTGGCATATGTACTACAGCGTCTCCAGCGCTTTCGAACGGCAATGCCGTGGTTGTCTCCTCCTGATTGGTGGAGTTGGCCCAATAGCCGTAGCGCCACCGTCCTGACGTCAGGACAGTGTTCAAATCTGGATCAGTTTTTATCAGATCCGTTGCAGCCCCTTTTTTAGAGATTTGGGTATGGAGGAAAATAGAGAGGGTTGTGTTTTCTGACACTTGGTGAGTTCCCTGGAACACCGGGGACACATATTCATGTATAAAAGACGTACAAAAGTGCATTTTGCATGATAGGTCCCCTTTAACTTATGAGGCAACATACCTCTAGAGAGCGGCCCAGACCTTTATATATTTTTCTGTATGTGGCCCTCAGAGAAAAAGGTTTGGACCCCCCTGATCTAGACCAATGAGTGGTTACTTCCTGTAATGCAGCTGAGAGCTGTGGCAGGCAGTCATAGTGTTTGCAGAGAAGATATGATGGGATGTAAAGCATGAGATCAGGACTCTGAAGCTGACTCAAAGAATAAACACTTATTTAAACTGGATCTAAAACTGTTGGATTGTGTTCATCCCTACAGGATCAGAGGAGAGACGATCAGAGCCAAGATCCAGAAGAACTGTGAGTACTGAAATCATATCCTCCATTCATCAAGATATGAAACTCTTTAATGGATCATGACCTCAGAGGAAAACAACACTCTTCTTTCTCTCTTCATCATTCTGGCTGTTTCTCTTTGTTTAATTATCATCATTATTCCCTCTCTCTCTCCTTCTCCTCTCAGGTGACAGGAAGTGAAGACACTCTGGTGATGCCTTGCTCTCTCTGAAAGGGGAGGACACCTATCTGCCATAGTTTCTCCACCTGACGACTGAGTTCGGCATCGGGGGTTCCAGTTGGGGTGAAGAGACTCTGGGGGGCATCCGATGGCTCCTGAATAGGGGAGGCCCTTGGAGTGTCCAACCTAATGATAATAATAATAATAATGCATTTTATTTGTAAAGCACCTTTCATTGCTAAAAGTAATCTCAAAGTGCTACAAGGGACATAATATACTTTTTTTTTTTTTTAAAGAAACACAAGTTTAATAAAAGGCTTTTTAAAAAAAAAGAAAGGTTTTTAGGCCCTTCTTAAAGGAGTCAGTGGTCTGTGGAGTCCTCAGTTTGTCTGGGAGGGAATTCCGCAGGTGAACAGAAAGCCCCCCCATGGTGCAGAGTTTGGTCCTGGGGGGGGGAAGCAGATGGTTGGTTGTAGAATGGAGGTTGCGTGTGGAGGTTTGTGAGGAGAGTAGTTCCTTGAGGTATGAAGGAGCGTTCCCGTGGATGCACTGATGGGTGAGGAGTGAGATCTTGGTTGCGGTCGAATACTCAAAAAAAACAGCTCCTAAGTTCTAACCCTATCGTCTATTCCTTGACCTCGGAGTGAAATGTCATGGGGTTAAGGGATAGTGGATAGGAGAATTCAAAAGGATTTAGGAGAAGAGACTGCGGTACTTTCACTATCCGACGTGTTTATGATGCGCCAGCGGAGGTCATAAATGTGCGCCTGCTGCGGTGGGGAAACTATGGAAACTACAGTTTTCTATACAGCGGACTACAACAGGGATGTTTACTAAGAACGAGGGACTACTGTAAACTCTGCACCGTGCTCTGATGCTGTTGTTTTATGCTTTATGAACGGGGACAACAGAGAAACATATTCTTCATGACCAAAGTTGGAATTGAAATAAAAAAGGAAAGTGAAACTTATGCTCGTCACCCTCTCCCTCCGGTCCACATTAATACAAATGATCCCAATACGTATGATTGTATGAACTATGAAAAGATCTTAAAAGCAATACAAATGTATTTATTATAAACGTTAGTCCTTAACATCTATCACTGTGTATATCACCATTCAAACATCTTTTTAAAAGTTGAACAAACCCCACACAGCTTAGTAAAGACTGAAATGTTGACTTTATTTGATCATTTCAGTAAAAACTAACGTTCATATTTCTCTTTTTGATTATAATACTGATGAACGTTCAAAACAAAGCACTTTGGCAACTTACCACATACGTTTTGAACCGTAACTTTCATGATATCATTTCTCGTTCATAATCGATTGTTTCCGTGAACGGCCGACTGTTGTGTGACGGAAAATGCCGCGGCCGCAAGGCATTGTGGGGCAGCATTTTCTCCTCTCCTTTCGGTTAGGGAGGTCCAGTGGTTCCTAAGCTAAAGGAGGTTATAAAGGAAGTTTGAAACCTCCTTTCCTTTTAATTTAGAGAATTCGAACGGCACTTATCATGGCTGCCACTGAGGGACTTCCGGGTCATTTCACTCCGTTAGGAAGGTTCCTAAGCTAAATGGACTATTCGACCGCAACCCTTGTATTTGAACCTAGCTGGAGGGCTATTGGTGCCCCCTGTGGACCGAAAGAGACTCTTTTGGTTGGGGTAATGAGGTGAAAGTTATCTGCACCTATTAGTAGGAGAGGCTGCACTTTGGAAAATGTGTCTTTGATGAGGAATGTTTTCTTGGGATTGAAAGAGGGTGATATCTCAAAGGTCACTGAGGCTCCATCTAAGGCTTCCTTAGTAATTACTAATTGCCAGCTTGAATTCTGGGCAGGTTTAGTACAGTGGATATCTCTCTCATGGCTAAATGGTGTGGTTGGCCAAACTGAAGGTGTAAAGCAGCTAAAGACTTAGTAAAGTGTAACCCCCGGTTACCAAGACACTGAGAAATAACACTGACTAAAATGTCAACTTTATTTTAAGGCTTATATTATATATTAGCACTAAATATACAAACAATATAAATTATTTGAAACTAAAATAGAAACAATATAGATACACAATATGCAATTTAGGACAACATGATTTAGACAATTCTTCATGAAAACATTTAAATGAGTGTGATTAGATAAATCCCCTGTCCATCTAAAGTGGTTGTAAAGCAAGGCTAAGCCAATCAAAGTTTAGACCCGCCCCATGTCTGCCCGTCTTCCAGGAAGTGAGATGCGCTGTTTATCCTTTTGGGACGATGACTCAGTAGCATTAGCACTGTAGATTTTGATTGTAGTTATTTGGACAACTTTTCACGTAGATTGACCGACTTTGCTACTTTTCCCCAAGAGCATTGCCTCTTATATGATACCCTTGGTGAGTTGCATGAGAAAATACGGATGTTAAATATGTATTTTAATGAAATTATCGATGGTAAATTAGCCGCGGCTAACCGTTGCTAACGCGTTAGCCTAGCGTGTATCTGTTGCTTTAATGTGTGCGGAGCGGAGGGACGTGAAGTCACAGCACCACTCTATTGTCTGTGGTTTTGGCGGTGGTCTTCACGTTGCTTTGCCGCCTGTTGTGGCACATTGAAGGGGCATTGACCACAGCTTAGTCTGTTATTTGTTGTGGAATATGAGCAAAGTGGAGCTAACTGGCTGGTTATAGGTTGACTGAAAATGAGTTTAGTACACTTTGTTAAAATAATAACATGTGTGACAGATGTGTTAAATAAGCTGACTGATAATTGTTGTATTTAGAATTGTTTGTTTAATAGGATTTTAGGAACATGTTCAGTGTATTTTGTTGATTTGATTAAGATACAGAGAAGTGCTGTTTCAATTTGCATTTAAACCATTGTATAAGCATTCATTTGACTCTTGGCCTTGTCAGGTCGGGTCTTTTTTTTGTGTGATGTGAAGGAGATTTTCGGGATTCTTTGACTGGAACGCTGCCCTCATCTCTGCTGTTGTACTGTGGCGAATTTCAGTCTGGCGAGCTACCCATCGACCTATCTAAAGGAAGAGAACTATTACAGTTACCCACAACGGTGGTAGGACAAGAACTTGAGCATCTTTTCCTCTTCACAAGTTGAGAGCCAAGAACTGATTGATTATTGATTGTGTGATACTATGTTGAATATGTTATAACCAGAGTTGGGTGTAACGCGTTACAAAGTAACGCGTTACTGTAATAATATTACTTTTGTCGGTAACGGAGTAGTGTAACGCGTTACTTTTATAATTCAGTAATCACACTACAGTTACTAACATTGCCCCGACACGCGTTACTTCGTTACTGTTATAAAATCAGTCATAATCACACTGACAGACAAGAGGGGTTTCCGCCGCAGGTTTATATGTACGTAATCTGCGCGACTTGCGCGTCCACATCTCCACGTGCAGTGCTGCATAAACATGGCTGAGTCAGCGATAACTTTCGAGGGGTGGAGGTATGCCCATTATTTTGAGTTCGTCCGAAGAATAGACAGGAATGTGATGGTGAGGTGCAAACTGTGTCCAGGCCAGAAGCTGTTATCCACTGCTGTAAACACCACGTCAAACCTCAACAAACACCTGCAAATAACACATGCTAAGGTGAAGCTAATAGCTAAGGACCCCCGAACCCAGAGTGAGGATGTTGTGAGTGCGCCGCCGCCGACTCCGAAGCAGCAACAATTACCGGTAACCAAAGCAGAGATGGACAGGCTTGTAGCATCCTTCATAGTAGAGAAAATGTTGCCCATTTGCACAGTGGAATCACCATCGCATCGTTCAGAGATATGCTGCGCAAAATACAGATAGCAGGAGACAGAGGACAGCCATAGTCAGAGCTATCTGGATCAGTCTTATGCGACAATGGAAACTGAACTAAAGAGAACATTTCAAACTTTAGCAGTCTGCGTGATCTGCCTGTAGGGAGGGGCGGGCCGGCCCTGCGAGTAAAGTAACGAGTAAAGTAACAAGTTACTTTATGTAGAGAGCAACGAAGTAGTGTAATATATTACTTTTTTAAAAAAGTAATATGTAATATGTAATATATTACTTTTTTGTAGTAACGACCCCATCTCTGGTTAAAACAGAAGTAATAACACAAAATGATACCAAAATAGTTATAAAATAAATAGGTACAAATAATTAAAACCAGGATACTCTCAAATTCAAGGTAACTGAATATATATGTCTTTCAAATGTTTATCTGAAAGAAAGAGGGAATAAATATTATATCTTTCTGTACCTTTTCCAAACAACGTCTGCTTTGTGTCTTTTCACCTTTGGCACAGTATCCATTTTCTCCTGAGCAACCTAGACTTCTGATGTGCTGGTCCACACACTGAAATTTCTACATTTATATTAGAGAGGTTTGATCGAAACTGATTCGTATAAATAATTCTGTGCTCAGCATTCACTTTTGGTGCATGTGTTACAAAAGTCTTTAGAATATGAAAATCACTGCTGACGGGACAGTCGCATTTTTTACAGGCTCCCACTACCTGTTAGCATCTAGCTCTCCTGCTTACAAACATTTAGCCACCCCTGCTTATACTTATACATCTTGACGCAGTTTGGCATTTGGCATGGGACAGTAATTGCCCTAACCTTTTACACTCAAGAATGCCATCAAAACACCCTGGGGATTATGTGCTACTTCAGAGAGCTAATACACAGATAACAAACCTTAAGAAGGACATCCGACGGCTTTCTGACGAGCTGAAAGAAAAAGACTCTCGTGTCCGGTCTCATGGAGGTGGCATCGGTGCAGTCTAAACAGCTTGCCTCGTTCAGTGCAACTATCCATGACACAGTTCTGTGGGATCCTTCCACCTGTCCACGGCCTTCCGACTCCTCGACACCTGGCCATCAGCAGTCGTGGTCTGAGGTGGTGCACAGGAGCTTATTGAATGGGGTGACTTCACCGCCTCGCCTACGCCTTCAGAACCGCTTCACGACCCTGTCAGACGATCCGGTCCATCCAGCTGATGCTCCCGCGGCACTGACCAGTCCAGATCTGTACCCTGCCGACACTGCAACTTCTGCGCCGGCAGCCGACAGTATTTGTGCTGCTTCCCAGGCCACTGTGAAGTCAACTCGGCGTCCCTCATCCCGTCTGTCGACCTCCTCACGTCATAAACTCTTCAAAGAGGCCGTGCTGAGACACTCGGGAAGTTTTCCGGGCCCTGAGCCGGCAAGGAAATCCTCTCCCAGCCCAGCTGTTACTGTCTCACTACAACACTCTCCTGCTTGGTCACCACACCCTCAATCACCGGCACCTCCTCGTCCCCTTTTCGCC